CCCAGCACGGCCTGGCCCCGACCGGGCGGGTCAGTGGCTGACTGTGGAAGGAAAGGAGTGGAGGGGATGAAGGGAAGAGCGACAGTCCGGCCCAGAGGGACAGAAATGCAGAAGCCTTTCACCGACCTGATGACACCCACCTCCCAAAGCAAACGCGCCAGCGCCGGCGCGGAGTCGGGCTGCCCGTCCACAGCGGCCTCGAGCGAGTGCCAGGCCCCAGGAGGCCCTTTCCTGGCCGGTGCCCTGTCCTGTCTCGGCTGATCCCCGCCCCGCCCTGGCCCCACCAGGAAGGGAAAAAGCACTTCCAGAAAAGCGGAGCCTGTCAGGGTGATGGATGACCCGCACGGACCCTCCCCGCTCGCGAACAGATGTCGCTGCTGAACTCTGTCAGAAATAATTAAACGCCTTTCACAGGGAGACGCTGCGGCAGGCGCGGCCTTCCCCGGGCTGGGTCTCGGCCTCGCAGGCTGGCTCCTACCCGCCCGCCCCGGCCGCCCGCCGAGGCGCGCACAGGGCCCTCGCCAGAGGGACAAGGAAAGGAGGCACGTGCCTCGGGGCGGTGACCCCTCGGGCCGCGGGGTCCCGGCACACAGGCTCCCCGTGGGCTCTGCCACCAGCAGTTCCTCGAATGGCCAGTGCCCCGAGGGAGGGTAGCCGACAGCTGGCAAGTGGCCTTTCTTCAGGGACATGAATGCTAAGAGGTCTGGGCTGGCCGCCAAGCCTCTCTGGGCCTCAGTTTCCCCATCCGACAGCGAGGGGCAGGGCTAGTTCCCAAGTCTCTGCCCACCTAGGGTTCCAGGCCCCCAAGTCCACCGGTCAAGGAGCAAGAGGGCAGGGCACGAGGCTCTCGGAGGTGGCGGCCCTGGAGCCAGAGTGCATGTCGGGGAACAGCTCCGATTCCCACTTGGGGGACGAAGGGTGAACTCAGCAGCCTCCCCCCCGAGTGAAGGAGGGCTGGGTGGGCGTCACCCTCTGTGCTGGTGGCCTCGCACTCACAGGCCTTCCACCAGACGTGCTGGGTCTTCCAGGCAGGGTGAGTGGCCGGAGCGGGAGGGGCGGCCGTGTCTGTGTGCGTGTGCGTGTGCGTGTGCGTGTGCCTCCAGGGTCAGCCAGACCTGGGTCCCATGGCAGCCCCGTCACCCCAGCCTGTCCCAATCTTCCGGAGCACCTCTGCTCCAGGCCCTGTTCTCCGTGCCAACCTGGGCTGCTTTGGGGGCCACTGGCCGGGCAGACGGGCAGACAGGGAACTGACAGGCACACGGCCAGACGGGAGAGTTTGGAGAACTGGTATGAGCGTTTGCAGCCTCCAATGGAGGGGAGACACCAACCTTAGGTGTCAGCTCAAGCTTGGGGTGGGGACAATCGCCATAGCGATCACCCCATCACCACGGTCTTAGCTGGGGGCGCGGGGGGCACCTGTTCCTGGGTCCCTCCCAGGCCACGGCCCTGGCTAGCCTGGCAGCCCTCCTGTGGGCCTGTGGGGAGGCGGGATTATTAATAGCTCCGCCTTCTGCTCTCCAAAGTGACCCAGTGGGCAGCACATGTCCTACCGCCGCCTAATATTAAGCCAGGAAAAATAGATGCTTTATCCTCCGTTACCAAAGGCGACCAGTGACAACGGCCGAAGACAAAGGGGCGAGCGCTCCAACTATTCGTGGCGGCGCCAACCACAACGGTGGAATTTGGGTGCTGCCAGTCAAGCGATGGCTCACATGCATGATGTCAAACAGACGCAGAGATGATCCGTGACGTTGTGGGATAGTGCACAGCCACGAAAATGACGTCAGTCCGTGCTTACTGACGCGTTACTAACACAGCACTGACGTGTGTGCGTTTGGATAGAGGCGGCTGCACTGGTTACAGGTGCGAGCGCCCAAGGGCAGAGCCGGAGGAGGGACCCCGGGGCCAGGGGCGGAGGGATGGGGGGGGGGGAGGCTGAGTCCTACTTTCTCTGACGCTCCTTCTGCATTGAGTGTTCACAGTGAGTACGCGTAGCTTTTACAAAACCAGTAAGGCGACCTTTCTAAATGTTTTTAAAGGATGAGGACCCTCCCTCCCTCCCTCCCTCCCGGTGCTTGTCCCAGAGCGCCAGCCCCCTTTCAGCCCAATTCCCTCTGACGGTCCCGCGCTCTGGCCACACCTGGTTTCTCGTGTTCCTGGCCGTCAGGCGTGAAGGCCCGAGGCCGGCAGTGAAGGGGGCGGACTTGCAGGGTCCAGATCTTTACGGCCAAGTCCAGGTTCTAACTGAAGATCCGCAATCCATTTGGGCCCCGGCCAGTGTGGCTCAGTGGACAGAGCACCGGCCTGTGGACTGAAGGGTCGAGTTCGATTCCTTCGGGCGCATGTACCTTGTTTGCACGTGCAAGAGGCGGCCATCAATGTGCCTCTCTCACACCAACGTTCTCTCGCGGTCTCTCCCCCTCCCTCCCACTCTGTCTAAAATCCAATGGAACAAGTATCCTCCGGTGAGGACTAACAGGTCTCCACCTCCATCGCCGCCCCCACCACAGGGCCCACCCCGACATGACGGTCATTCCGTCGCTAACGTGTGGACAAATCCTCTCAGCTCAGCCCCGCTGCTTAGGGATAAGGCCCGGCTGGGACGCTAACGGTTTGGGTTACAAGCTCCTGCGTCCGGAGGCTGGATCGGATGCCTCTCTGTGGAAGACTGACCCTGCGGGTCCCCCGGGCCCCTGGCTCCCCACAGAATGGGGACGCGGGGAGCAGCGGTCAGCCACGCAGTGACACCCCGAGACGCGCAGTGACACCCCGAGACACGCAGTGACACCCCGAGATGCACAGTGACACCCCGAGACGTGCAGTGACACCCCGAGACACACAGTGACACCCCGAGATGCACTGATGAGTGAAGGCTTCGGGTCTAAGGGAAGGGTTTTCTCCCTTAAGCTCTTACAAACCCACGCTGGCTGCAAAGTTAACTCTGCCAACCCCAGGGCGGCTCAGGGCCCGTCCGCCGCCGCCTCTGCCCCCTGTGCCGGCCGTGTCCAGCCCAGCCACTCTCTGCAGACCCAGGAGGGGCAGCCGCCAGAGGTGCCGCCGCTCCGAGTGCCCGCCCGGGGGGGTATTCTAAGGGTCCTGCCGCTGTGTCGCTCCGGAAGAAGACCGTCCGAGCTGCTGTGTAGGGCACGGGGCGCAGGAGGATGTGCCACACGCGGGAACGGGGCGACGGGAAGCGTGAGTCAGA